AGAACGGTTAAGTACCGAGTGAATCTCTAGTGTATGAGATCACTCGGGAAATTAGAAACTCAGTCGTCGAGGACCGGGAGTGTCGTTTAGATTCCGCGAATTGGTTATTAATCGATCCCCCATAGTTTAGGAGAATCTAATGCGTGTCACCGTCGTAACACTTGAGAGTGGCTAAGCCTCGAGAGGGATGATGGTTGATAATTCTCGTACGTTGTATCGAGCGTAAGTCTTGAAGACTAATGCACGGATGAAAGACGACGACGTCGCCCATAGGACGAGTGGATTTCTCCGACATCGCGTGAATATCTTGTGCGTTGGCTGCGAGGCACACAGTTGAAAAGGTACGAATTTTTAGTTAAGCATGATGTTGTGGCTCGATATGACTCGATATGTTAAAATTTATGAAAAGCATGCTTATATGATTGAACTTGACGATTATTGCACGACTGGAATTCTTTGAAACGTGTAATGTGGTTATTATGTGAGTTTATGTGAATTTGTGTTAAAAATCATGTTAGGACTAACCTCCCTATATCTTATATGTGCGTATTCGAGATATACGTTGTGATTATATATTGCTTGATGATGCTCGGTTCATGAGTGTATGATTTTGGATTGGTATTTAATTGAAAACTCCATGTTCTCGTGACCTACAAGCTGTTTTTCTGGTTAGGTGTTCTTCATAAATTTTGTAGTGACTTGAGTTAGGTTTCTACGAGTTTTGGAATTTCATGATTCGGAGTTAAATTGAAATTGTTATGAATTTTTGAAATTGAAACTACAACCAGTTTTTGAAATTCCGGGCAGAATTGTGAATCATGATGTTGGGCTGTTTTTGACGATGTTAATATGACTATGTGAAAATATGATCAACATGAAACTTGTAGTACATGTTATAAGCTTTCTCAGGAAGTTGAAATCTTACAATTTGGTGTTTTATTTGATTTTATATAATTTTTTTGAAGTTGGAGTTATGCCCAGAATTTTTAAAACAGTGGCTGTATTTACGATTGAGATGTATGCTCTGAAATGAGGCCCCTAACGTGATTGTTTGTAAAAATGCACTTCTTGAAACTTGTAGCTTTTCTAGTTTAATTTTTGAAATTGTTTGATTTAGAGTATTATAACATGAGATATCGTTGTTTTAGAGAACTGCTGCAAATTTACAAATAGTTTCGTTGGCAGATTTCTTTACCTAAATGTTTTAAAGTTAATTTTAGGCTTAATTGATCAACATGAAAGTTGTAGATAATTGAGTTAGCTATATTGTAGATTTTGAATTTTAGTAACATAATGTTTGTAGCTTCGGTTAATGTGCATACATGGAGAACCTGTCAACTGTATGTCTTCATTTATCCAATGCACATATGTTTTGTATGTTTGCTCTATTATGTGCATCTAAATGATTTTATCTGCCTGAGTGTTCTTCATGAAAGTGATAGAAGCCTGAGTTAGGGATATTTTTCAAGTGGTTTCATCAGGATACGATATCTATACTGAAAGCTACATGCATTATAAAATTATCACGCATGCTGAAAATTGGTGCAAATTCATGTTTAGGTTTCCAAATTGAGTTGTGAATTTCAAATTTGCTTTTCGTCAATGTTCATGTATATGTGCCCTACGTGACTATTTCCTGCTTTGAATTGCGATCGTGATTTAAATAAGAATTGTAGCCGCATGTCTTAGGATTTATATTCATCTTAAATCATGCTTATATGACGTGTATGTTGCAAGTTAATATCTGATAACATGATGTTGTTGTTAGAGGTATGCTGTAAAAGCTGTGTTTTGCAGTTTCTATCAATTCCATT